CTGGTTCCAGCTGGGTGGCGGCAGGCGCTGACCCCTGGCTCTAGTCCCAGACTCCAGCCGCACAGCAGCAAGCTCCAATCCCTGGCTCTAGCCACGCGGTTCCTGTCCCCAGCTCCAGGTTCTGGCTGCGGGCACTGGGCCCTGGCCCTAGTCACATGGCAGCAGACACTGGGTCCTGACTCTGGCCACACAACAGTGGGGCTCATCACTCCTCCCCCCCCAGACCCTGCTACCTTCCTGGCCTCGCATCCATCCCCCGCATTGCCCTGGGCCCCCGCTGCCTCCCCTTTCAGCTCCCTCATCCCCCCAGTCCAGGGCTTAAGGTTGATGGTGGGATGGAAATTGTTGAAATCATGGTGGAATTCCTCAAGAGCTTCTTTTCCATGGGTCCAGAATATGAAGATGTCATCAATGTAGCGCAAGTAGAGTAGGGGCGTTAGGGGACGAGCGCTGAGGAAGCGTTGTTCTAAGTTGGCCATACAAATGTTGGCATACTGTGGGGCCATGCTGATTTGAAGGTATACATTGTCCCCAAATGTGAAATAGTCATGGGTGAGGACAAAGGCACAAAGTTCAGCCACCAGGTTTGCCGTGACATTATCGGGGATTCTACTGGAAACCTACTGACTGCTATGACTACCTACATGCCTCCAGCTTTCATCCAGACCACACCACACGATCCATTGTCTACAGCCAAGCTCTACGATACAACTGCATTTGCTCCAACCCCTCAGACAGAGACAAACACCTACAAGATCTCTATCAAGCGTTCTTACAACTACAATACCCACCTGCTGAAGTGAAGAAACAGATTGACAGAGCCAGAAGAGTTCCCAGAAGTCACCTACTACAGGACAGGCCCAACAAAGAAAATAACAGAACGCCACTAGCCGTCACCTTCAGTCTCCAACTAAAACCTCTCCAACACATCATCAAGGATCTACAACCTATCCTGAAGGAGGACCCATCACTCTCACAGATCTTGGGAGACAGGCCAGTCCTTGCTTACAGACTGCCCCCCAACCTGAAGCAAATACTCACCAGCAACCACACACCACACAACAAAAACACTAACACAGGAACCTATCCTTGCAACAAAGCCCGTTGCCAACTGTGCCCACATATCTATTCAAGGGACACCATCATAGGACCTAATCACATCAGCCACACTATCAGAGGCTCGTTCACCTGCACATCTACCAATGTGATATATGCCATCAACTGCCAGCAATGCCCCTCTGCCATGTACATTGGCCAAACTGGACAGTCTCTACGTAAAAGAATAAATGGACACAAATCAGACATCAAGAATTATAACATTCAAAAACCAGTCGGAAAACACTTCAATCTCTCTGGTCACGCGATTACAGACATAAAAGTGGCAATTCTTCAACAAAAAAATTTCAAAAACAGACTCCAAGGAGAGACTGCTGAATTGGAATTAATTTGCAAACTGTATACAATTGACTTAGGCTTGAATAAAGCCTGGGAGTGGATGGGTCATTACACAAAGTAAAACTATTTCCCCATGTTTATTCCTGCCCCGACCCTTCCTCAGACGTTCTTGTCAACTGCTGGAAATGGCCCACCTTGATTATCACTACGAAAGGTTCACCACCACCACCACCCCCCGCGCTCTCCTGCTGGTAATAGCTCACCTTACCTGATCACTCTCATTACAGTGTGTATGGTAACACCCATTGTTTCATGTTCTCTGTGTATATAAATCTCTCCACTGTATTTTCCACTGAATGCATCCGATGAAGTGAGCTGTAGCTCACGAAAGCTTATGCTCAAATAAATTTGTTCGTCTCTAAGGTGCCACGAGTCCTCCTGTTCTTTTTTGAGGATGCAGACTAACACGGCTGCTCCTCTGAAACCTGAACTACGCTAATGCCACTTTTCACAGCAAGCCCCAGGACCCATTAAGCCCCGGATGAGGGGGCGGAGGGGGGAAGGCATTATTTTTGTTATTCAGTCTGCCAAAAATCCCTAGAAATATAAATTACAGTGATCTGGGTGTGAATCTGTGCATAGTGAACTGTTTTTCCTACAGTTAATTAAGTATTTTAGGGGGAAAGTGTCAGTGCACCCACCAATGAGAGTTGTTGTGAGACCCCTTGCCCTAAAGGGAGAAGATTTATTGTCCAACAGATACATACTCAAAGCACTTTACAACAGTGAGCCATTAACCCCATTTTATAGTTGGGGAAACTGAGGCACAGAGCAATTGTCGCGTCTTCAAGGTCTCACAGAGTCAGGAATAGAACCCACATCTTGTGAGGGTTAGTCCACTGCTCTAGCCACTAGACCATACTGCTTTAGGAGGCAAGTGGCTCTCCTTGAAGGCTCAGCCTGAAAGTCCCAGCCTTGCAATGGCCTTGGCTGCAACGATAAATTCATTATGGCCAGCCCCAAGCATTCAAAAATCGGGAGCCAGATTGGCTTACACATCACGAGATTTAAAAACAATAATAATGCTCCATTTGGGGTTCTTTTTCAGATCTTTCGTTTAGCATTTTAATATGAAATTTTTCAGTAGAGGAAAAAAATGCAATAAAACGTTGGACAATTATTTTGAAAAAAAACGTTAATGACAATTTTGGTAAAAATGTCACTAAAATTTTCACCCCCAAATTCATCAATATTTTCACTTTCCCCCTTTTCCCCCCCCCCAAATATTGTCCCCCTAACTGACTAGTATTTCTTGAAGATTTTCATTAATATTTTCCCCAAAATCTGTGTGCATTTTTCCCCAAAACCACTAAAGTTTCCAAGAAAATTTTCACTAATATTTTCATGACAATTTTCACCATTAACCCACAATTGGTCGCTAACATTTCCACCAACGTTTCACATTTTCACACACAAAAGTCACCCACAAAAATTCACAAATATTTTTGTGCAAATGGGTCTGTTTCGATCCATGTTGACATGTTGATATTTTTCACCAAATCGGTTCACAGCTTGTCAACCACTCATTACGGCACTTGCTAAATGCTAGCAGTGACTCATTGAGGCTGGGGTTAGGGGGCAGGGGAGCTGGGTTTGGGAGGACTCTGACTCTTTCTGAAACTATTTGAGAAACCTCAGGTGTAAAAAGAAACTGAAAAAAACAAAAAGAGGTTCCACTTCTCTGGTGTGGGTGGAGGGGGGAGAGGCAAGATTGGGGCAATGGGTCTCACTATGGCACGCTAAACACACAGATCTCTCACAGATCTTGGGAGACAGCCCAGTCCTTGCTTACAGACAGCCCCCCAACCTGAAGCAAATACTCACCAGCAACCACACACCACACAACAAAAACACTAACCCCAGGAACTTATCCTTGCAACAAAGCCCGTTGCCAACTGTGCCCACATATCTATTCAGGGGACACCATCATAGGGCCTAATCACATCAGCCACACTATCAGAGGCTCGTTCACCTGCACATCTACCAATGTGATATATGCCATCAACTGCCAGCAATGCCCCCGTGCCATGTACATTGGCCAAAGTGGACAGTCTCTACATAAAAGAATAAATGGACACAAATCAGAAGTCAAGAATTATAACGTTCAAAATCCAGTTGGAGAACACTTCAATCTCTTTGGTCACTCGCTTACAGACCTAAAAGTGGCAATTCTTCAACAAAAAAACTTCAAAAACAGACTCCAAGGAGAGACTGCAGAATTGGAATTAATTTGCAAACTGGATACAATTAAGTTAGGCTTGAATAAAGACTGGGAGTGGATGGGTCATTACACAAAGTAAAACTATTTCCCCGTGTTTATTTCCCCGCCTACTGTTCTTGTCAACTGCTGGAAATGGCCCACCTTGATTATCACTACAAAAGGTCCCCGCCCCCCGCCCCCCACCCCCCACTCTCCTGCTGGAAATAGCTCTCCTTTCCTGATCACTCTGGTTACAGTGTGTATGGTGACACCCATTGTTTCATATTCTCCGTGTATATAAAATCTCCCCACTATATTTTCCACTGTATGCATCCGATGAAGTGAGCTGTAGCTCACGAAAGCTTATGCTCAAATAAATTTGTTCGTCTCTAAGGTGCCACAAGTCCTCCTGTTCTTTTTGCGAATACCGACTAACACAGCTGCTACTCTGAAACCTAAACACACAACGTGGCCATTTATTTTGATAGGGGCAATGGTTATACTGTACACTGTCTAAACAGCAGCGGGGTGTACGTTAGAGCAAGGCATGGAGCGGATGGGAGTCAGGACTCCTGGGTTTAATCCACAGCTCTGGGAGGGGGGTGAGGGCTAGTGGTCAGAGCAGGGGGGCACCCAGGAGCCAGGGCTCTTGAGTTCTTTCTCCAGCTCTAGGAGAGGAGGAGGGGAAGGCAGTGAGGTCTAGTGGTTAGAGCAGGGAGGCTGGGAGTCAGGACACCTGTGTTCTATTGCCAGCCCTGGGAGGGTAGTGGTGTCTGGTGGTTGCGGGGGGGCGGCATTGGGTTGGGAGCCAGGTCTTGTGGGTTCATCACCAGCTCTGATAATAAGTGTGGTTTAGTGGTTAGAGAGGGACACTAGGCGCAAGGATTCTTGGCTTTACTGCTGATGTGCTGTGCGGCCCTTTGTCAAGACACTTCCCCTCTTTGAGCCTCAATTTCCCCACTACGGTGACCAGATAGCTAATGTGAAAAATCGGGACGGGGTGGGAGTAATAGGAACCTATATAAGAAAAAGACCGAAAAATAGGGACTGTCCCTATAGAATCGGGACATCCGATCACCCAATTCTCCACAGACCATCTCAGAGTCGAGAACAAGACTGGGGGATCCATTCCCTGCTCTGCCACCGACTCCCTGGGGAAGCGTGGGCAAGTCATTTAGCCACCCTGTGCCTCAGTTTCCCCATCTTAACACAGGGATATTAGCATTTCCCTGCTATGCAATGGGGTTCCATGGAAAAATGCATTAAAGACCATGAGTTGCCCAGATGCCACCATGACGGGCACCAAATAGATACCAATCAATAATCCAACCAATCAAAGGCTGACCTTCCCGAAATCCCGTACGTCGAAGAGATCGAAGACTTCAAAGAGCTCGTTCTTGCGCAGGCCGAATTTATCGCAGCAGGTGGAGAGGAAGGTGCGGATGTTCTTGAGACACAGGAACTGAAAAGGAAACAGGAGCTGATGCTTAATCTGCGAGCTCATTGGGGCAGGGACTTCCCTTTTATGGCCACGTGTCTGTGGCAGCCCCAGAGGTCCCTGATCCCTGACTGGGGGCCCAGGGGCTGCTGCATTACAGATACATGATAATAAATTGGGGACGGCAGGCCTTTTCCTCACCAGTGCCTCCTCTGTGCTGGAACTGGTGGCCACCAGTAAAGCAGCATCGCGTCCCACTGCTCAGTCCCCAGGACATGAGCCTGCTACTGGCCGGCTCATCCGCTTGAGCCCTCAGCTCAGTCCCTGTCTTGGAAGCCACTGTGCGGGGTTCGTCAGGGGGAGAGCAGATCTCGAGAGAGGGGGATCTGGGAATGGTGACAGGGCAGTCCCAGGGGACAGGGAATTGGAGGGTCAGACAGAAGGTGGGCTCCGGGGGGGGGGGGGGGGGAGATTCCTCAGAAAAGGTGCAGGACACCGCAAGCCGTTCCAGCCACCCAAACAGCAAAGGCTGGTGCTGGGAGGTGACATCAGGCACAGCCAGGTCATGGCACAAAATTTACAAATGAAGAAGCTTAAGACAGAGTGACACAGATAGGGTGAGATGAGCAGTTTCTGTGCATAAACCTGTTTTTTTAATACGTCCAGCTCCGTGTTGGATTAGATTTGCTCTTAGTGTAATAAATATGATGCTTTGTTTTCACTAACTCCAAGCCTATGGCCTGGTCTACGCTAAACACTTCAGTCGACCCAGCTACGTAGCACAGGGGTGTGAAAAATCTACCCCCCTTGAATGGTGAAGTTAACCGACCTAACCCCTAATGTAGACAACACTAGGTTGATGGAAGAATTCATCTGACCTCCTGTATAAAACAGGCCACAAAACTTCCCCAGGGTAATTACTAGAACAGAGAAACACACTCATTCCCAGAGACTTGGGCCCAGACCATCAGAGGTGTTTGAGCTCCTAACTTCCAGTGAAATCAATAGGAGTTAGGTGCCTAAATACCTCCCAGAAACTGTGCCTCTGGGACTGCCTGGGGGCATCGAAAAGGCTAGGGGGGCTATCAACCCCTTCCCAGTCCTGCATTCTGAGGCCCTGCCTGGCCACTGGGGTCATTTAGAGCAGCCTCAAGGCTGTTCTAATTCTTCCTCTGCTTCACTAGGAAGCTGAAAATAGCTGTCGTGCAGTGTATTCTGGCTGTGAGGCTGGGAACACAGTACCTGTAGGGCTCTTACAAGTTCCACACTGGTCCCCTCTCTGGGGAGATTCTCAGGGAGGCTGTTTCCACCCGCTTTAAGGCCCCTCTATGCTGCACCAGTTTAGCTACACCGGTGGCTTAAAATCCCACCATAGATAAGGCCCAAGTCTGAGTCCTGTTTTAGTCACCATCACTGAAATAGACTGAGATGTGTCTCCAAAGCATTGTGAGGTCTCAGTGGTCAGGTGCAATCCGTGAGACATTCAAAACTGGCCTGAGATTTGTGTCTGCTCGTTGCTCACGGAAGAGATGGCTTAGGTTCCTGGCCTGTGCATGCTCTGAATGCAAAACCCACGTGGAGCTGAAATAGACTGAGATGTGTCTCCAAAGCATTGTGAGGTCTCAGTGGTCAGGTGCAATCCGTGAGACATTCAAAACTGGCCTGAGATTTGTGTCTGCTCGTTGCTCCTGGAAGAGATGGCTTAGGTTCCTGGCCTGTGCATGCTCTGAATGCAAAACCCACGTGGAGCTGCTGAAAGAGCTAAGCTTCGGACCTTCATTGTAGCCGGTCAAAGCTACCAAGTCTCCCAGGGGATCTGCTCTTGGAAGGCCTGAAGGCTGCAGAATGGGGCACCATCACTTGCAGAATGGACAGTGGCAAAGGGACATATCCTTTTCCATTTGCCGACCTCAAATCCCTCAGGAGACCCTCTTCCTTGACCTCAGCCTTGGACACTGCAATCTCCTTGATCGTCTGCCCCACTATCCTGGTGTCTTCAACCCCTAAATAACATGTGTTGCATGCCCCACCCCTGGGCATCTTGTCTCGTCTCCCTCTCCAGGCCACGCCCTCTCCCATGGTGGTTAGGCCGTTTCACACTTTAACCACAATTGTCCCCTTCCTTCCAGCTTTCTCTCTCTCGCCGGCCCCATCAGCAAGCTGGCTCCGTCTTACCTCGAGTGGCAGTCTGGGCTAGCGGATAGGGCACCAAGCTAGGACTTAGTAAACATGCGTTCCATTCCCAGCTCTTCCACTAGCTTACTAAGTGATGCTGGGCATATCTCTTCTCCTTGCCATGCCTCAGTTTCCCCTCCCACCTTTAGACTATAAACCCTTTGGGGCAGGTGCTGCCTCATGTGTGTACTACACCCCCAAAATGAAGCCCTGATCTTGGTCAGCATCTCTAGATGTTACTGTAATACCCATAATAGCTTCATGAACCTGCTTTCCCATCTTATAATCTTGGGAGTCATCCTTAACCTTCCGGGTCTCCTGGCATTCCTGCCCCCTTCAAAAGTTTGCCAGAAGATGCCCACTTTCCTGTGGTGTACAGGAACAGGGTGGTATCCCTTTAAATACCGAGGGAGCCCTCTGATGGTGCACACTATGTTCCGTAAAAAGAAAAGGAGTACTTGTGGCACCTTAGAGACTAACCAATTTATTTGAGCATGAGCTTTCGTGAGCTGCAGCTCACTTCATCGGATGCATACCGTGGAAACTGCAGAAGACATTATATACACACAGAGACCATGAAACAATACCTCCTCCCACCCCACATTGTGAAGAGAGTGATCACTTTGGATGGGCTATTACCAGCAGGAGAGTGAGTTTGTGTGTGGGGGGGCGGAGGGTGAGAAAACCTGGATTTGTGCTGGAAATGGCCCAACTTGATGATCACTTTAGATAAGCTATTACCAGCAGGAGAGTGGGGTGGGAGGAGGTATTGTTTCATGGTCTCTGTGTATATATAAAGTCTGCTGCAGTTTCCACTGTACGCATCCGATGAAGTGAGCTGTAGCTCACGAAAGCTCATGCTCAAATAAATTGGTTCGTCTCTAAGGTGCCACAAGTCCTCCTGTTCTTTTTGCGGATACAGACTAACACGGCTGCTACTCTGAAACCTGTCACTATGTTCCGTGTTTTAGAAGCCACCAGAAACCAACCAGAGCAAACGGTGTGGCCGGAGCTGGGCCTTGTGTGTTTGTATATATGCAGTGAACACAATAGGTTATTTGGTTATGCCCACACGGCCGTTTTGCGTAAAGAGCAGAAGGCACAACAGATGGCCTGGGAGCTTATCCTCTGAGATTCAGCGGAGATCTGAGCTGAGCTCTGCTGAAAACCTGGTCACCTCTTCCGGTGCCTAAGTTGGAGCCCAGATCTTTGGAGATCTGGCTCCAGTTTGACTAGGAGCTCAACACAGGTCATGAGTGGATGGCCGGGTGTTATGCAGGACAGCAGACTAGATGATCGAATGGTCCCTCCCCATCTGAAAATCTCTGGTGATGAATTTCATTCCCTAGCCCTCTGCCAGTAAATTGGAGACCTAGATATAAAGATTCCAGATCACCACAGCCAACCATTCCTCCAAACACCTGCTTCTGCGGAGAGTCACACGTTGGCTGCTGCAGAATGGGACCTATGACACATACTTGGACAGATCTTACATTTCAGCCATGATGCTACAGGCTTTTTAAAGCCTCAACATGGCTGCCATGAGACCAGGCTGGGAATTTTGATAGGGTCTCCATCCCTCCTCCCCAGGCAGGAAGCTGTCAGGAGAGAAGATCTACTGGTGGACTGCCTTTGCAGCTCTCCAGCTGCAGTGGTTCATCACATCAGCCCCGCTACTATGGCTGCTCCTTGAATGGCCTTTATCCCAAAGACACAAAAGCCTCCAGAAATTATCTTGGCAGTACAGATTCATAAAATAGCCCTTTTGCCATTCTAAGCAAATGGTCCAGGATTAAGTTTGCATAACAAATCGTGTGTGTGTGTATGGCATTGTTAAAGGGGAAAAAACAAGCATTATGTTTCAAAGCACACAAGGAAAGCTGGACAGCCCAGGGGCATCAAGGTTTGGAACCCTGTGTGGCGAGGTAGAGCTATTTCTCCTGATTCAGCCTGGCAGCCAGGACAGGTGGGTACTTTTATTGCCAGCTCAGGAGTATCGAAGGGTTTGAATGTCCTGCTGTCAAGTACCAAGACCCTTCGCAGAGATGCAGGGCGACTTCTGCTGACACACCCCAATGCCAGGACCAGGCTGAGCGATATCTCTGCCAATTCACCCCAATGCCAAGAGCTTCACGTGGAGCGGCAGAGCTACTTTTGCTGACTCACCCCGATGCCACATCCCTGCACAGAGAGGTGGAGCCTTTGCACCACTCTCACAGCTCAGAAACGCAGCACTATTTCTGCCGACTCACGCTTGCTTCCAGAGCAGAGGCTTCCTACTAATTCCAGCCTGGGAATATGAAAAGGCATGTGCGTCCCAGAGAGAATTAAGGTTAGGAACTGAGGAGGTTTTATAAAAAGCAACAGTCAAGCTCGAGAGGAAGCGCCAGTTGAAGTCTGTGTTTTGGTGTTGTTCAAATGAGGAAAGGGACAAGCACCGAGAAGCCCTGGTTGCGGGTTGGTGCTGAAGAGGCTACAGGGAGGAAACACTTTAATGCACCCCCACTCATCTCTCATCCCAAGGACCAACCGGCTCTGGTCATGCTTAGTCTCCAAAATCGTAGCCTAATCCCCCCGTGTCAGCGTGTAACTACAGATCCCAGTCGGTCCCTGATCCACAGAGGATATGAGTCGATTACAGCGTGAGCTAGCACAAGCCACACCATCAGTCTACGCTCTGGAGGTTCCCAGGTCTATCCCCAGTGTGGCAGTCAAAATGGTGGCCATCACGTTAACATCGCTTGAGACTAGAGCCAGACGGGAACTTTTCAGGAGAAGGTTTTTTTCACTGATAAAATACATCTTACGAAACGTTTCAGGGGAAAGGGTTGGTTCTGACAATGATCTCT